TTTAGATTTCCACTTCAAATTAAAGAGACAACTGTAAACCCCAGTTAGTGCCCTCCTTTTAGAAGCACAGTTCAGTTGCAAATTTCTCTTAAACCTCTGAATTCATATAGGTGGTCCAAACTGTTGGTTTTTGGAACTGTTCTTGGTTTTATTTATTTATTTATTGGGGAGGTAATTTTAAATATATCTTACCACTCCACAACTCTCTGCCTCTTACCCACTGGAGGTCGAAACCAGTGTCTATAACTAATATTGAAATGTTTTGAAAAAATATTAAAATTATGTAAAATGAAAAAAGAATCACTACAGGGCTAGGGATTTAGCTCAGTGGCACTGCACCTGCCTCACAAGCTCAGGGTCCTGAGGTTGATCCCCAGTACAAAAAAAAAAAAAAAAATCGCTATTACAAGTTACACCTAGCTTAGCATAGAAGAAATGACCAGGAGCAGTTCAAAAGGGAAAGGAACACAAGGAACACTTAATGGACCTCTTTTCTTTCTTTTTTCTTTTTCTTTTTCTTTTCTTTTCTTTTTTTTTTTTTTTGAGGCAAGGCCTTGCTCAGGAATCCAGGTTGGCCTTGAACTCTCAGCAGTCCTGCCTCCACCTCCTAAATGCTGGGATTACAGGTGAGATACTCTACCTCTGCCTTTAATGGGCCTTTCTTAAAATTAAAGTTCTCTGTAGGAATATTTTTATTTACTTGGAAAAATACAAAACCCAAGTCAAATATTCCATAAGAAAATGAAAGCAGTTGGCTCTCTAAAGCTATAGAAATAAGAAATGCATAGGCTTTTAAACCCTCTGTTCAATAAGGTCAGTAATTTTTTTTCCCAGTTACAGCTTAACTCAAAATATTTCTTGAAAACTTTATGCAACAGGATTCATACACACACACACACACACACACACACACACACACATATGTTGTGTGTGACTCAGAAATATAAAAGCAAGCATCCGTTAGCTTAGCAAAAACCTACAAATATTACAGTACACCATTATTTTTGATGAAAGCCTTACCAGGATGACTTCACAAGGGTAAATGCTATTCAACACAAATCTATTTTGCCTTTTTAATTCGCTCACATAAGATATAATATAAACATGCTACTAATTTTAAAGTAGATATAATCAGAAAAAAAATATGTTTTAAGAACTGTGCCTCAGACCTATTCTAAATGTAATGAAGATTGCTTAACCTAACTATGCTATTTCAATCACCTGCGGGTCAGGGTAGATTATGACTTATACAACTAACCAATTAACACAGATACTTTGTCTTTTACATTAGGCACTCATGATAAAATAAATCCCTTTGATCTAATCTCTCCATTAAAATCTCAAAAGGCCTCTAAAGTGTTCTCTACTCACATATTAATTTTACTAATAAAATTTGCATTTAATATTCAATCTACACTTATGCAAAAATATATTTCACAGTCTGGCCTAAAATTCATAAACATTCAATAATATATTGAAAATGGTCAGATTAAAATATCTGTAATACAAATATAAATACAAAACAACATTATACAAATTGTGTTATCAGCTATAAAAATATACAGGGAATAGTCAAACATCACAAAAATTTCAATAAAATCTGAGCAAATGTTCATCACACATTTCTGTATTAATCATTCCACACTAAACTAAGACACCTGAAAATACAGTGTGTTCTTAAAATTTTGTATCATTCGTAAGGCTATAACAAGGTATAAATTCTTTTTAAAAAGATTTTATCATAAAGGTAACAATAAATAATAAATGTATACCCAAAAGCAAATCGTATTAAAAAAAAATCACTTCCTATGATTTACTAAATCCTATCAGAAATACTAAACAAAAAAATCACGGAAACACCCAAGAAGCTTTGGAAGGAGAGGAAAAAGAAAACATAAGCAGTAAAAGCATCCATCAAAAAGAGGGGAAATGTTAACCAAAACAAAATTTCACCTTCCTTTATGCTTCCACCCTTTCTCAGAAAACATTCAATTTATAATAAAAATGAGAAAGGAACAGAATTTTCTTCATTCTCCTGTGTTTGGACAAGTCTTCAATTTCATTACTTTTACAATATTAGACACAGATATGACTGGGACATCTAAATCTATCTAAATAAGTAGTCTTATTAAGTACTAATAATCAGAGCCCTAGACTCAACCTAAGACTAAATTTACAGGTTCATCCGGTATCATTCTTTCTAAAAATCCTAGCTTTTAGGAAGCAGTCAACTTTTTAGCACTAAATATTCAACTTTATCTCAGTATAAAAGCTCTAACGCCGCCTAAAACTGTTTACTTTTTACTTCTGTTTCTTTTCAGCAGTTTCACCATTAATGCTGAGGGCAAACAATGTTGAAAATCAAATCATGCAGAAATGTGCCTCCATCAGTGTTGTATTTATGGTAACCTTATTGAATATTAGTATTTTAAAAAGCACATTAAGTTATTAAAGCTAGTTCAATTTACTTAAGAATAGATTTGAGTATCAATAAGGTTTCTTATTTTAATACCAATGAACTTAACCCTTAAAAAGACAATGTGTTTCTATGTTCAATCATGCTGTTCGAAATTTTACAATATGGTAACAGTGTGGTGCGTTAACACATCTAAAAGAATCGCCTACAGTAGTTTTTTTTTGTTTGTTTTGTGTTTTGTTTTCCGGTACCGGGGAGGGGATTGAACTCGTGTCCTTGCGCTTGCAAGGCAGGCCACCAAAACGCTGAGCTAAATCCCTGGCTCCTACAGTAGTTTTTAAAGTGTTTTGAATAAAGCAATTTTAGATGGCAATTTAAAAAGTCAAATTATAACATACGTTACACTAAAAACTAAATGCTTAGAGTATTCCATCAAGTTGCTACCTTTCAACATACTAGTTTAGCTGCTGATAACTCAGGGTCACTGTCAGAGCTGATGCTTGGCTGAAGTCATGTAATATATACAGAAAGCAAACAATTTTAATTTTGAGGCTGTTGTTTGGAAACAATAGACTAATTCAATGATGGTTAGAAAAGGAACACTGTTTCAATTTATTTGGGTGAAGCTTTGTTCTGGGTAATCATAGTGCTTAATTAAGGCTATAATGTACAGTATTTGCAAACAGCATCAAACTATCCTATATTGAGGTACTGTTACACTTGTTAGAATACAAATTAATAATAATTTCAAATCACTTATCAGCATAAAAAATAACCATTTCATGGGCCAGTAAGAAATTTCTAAAGAGCTCTATAATGAAGTTATGAAGCTCAAAAATATATGAAGATGCTTTGTAGGTCATAAAGTACTTTAAAATTATTAAAATCACCATTAATGATTTAAGAGTAACTATGTTCATTCTACAATCCCAGATTTTATAAGGTTTATTGAAAATTCAGTGAATAAAAACTGCTTTGTTCCTATTTTTTTCCTTATCATAACAAAATGAAAATACTATGACTATAAAGACAGTTTCCTTAATATAGTTTCTTTGTATAATAACCTGTTTTATAAATCAATCTAATAGTTTTCTACAGTTAAAAATCAACTGTACTTACTCTTAAAAAACTCAAGTATATGAGATCCACTGTAAAAAATTTGAGATTGGAAAATTTAAAATACAGCATGCCTTTGAACATTAGAAACAGCAGCTTATACAGTAAGAACTTAATTTTTTAATTTAAAACCTTTAATTCAGAAACACTAAAAAGTTGAAGTAGCATTCTAAATAAAAGTACTTTTAAAGTAATATATTACTACGTAGTAGCTTGCATTAAGACACTTACGAACCAAGGTATTTTTTCTCTTGATAAGAAACAAGGCTTTTAGAACAGAACATAGCTTAAATCTAAGTCTAAACCTTTTCCCTAATACGAAGGCTTCCTACATAAGAGGCATCTCCTTGTACATCAACATTAAGATACCTTTTACAGAAAAAATAATTTAAAAGAGTTTTAAGTAAAATGCTCAGTGACTAGTTAGTAGAACAACGAATATCACTAACATTTAAGAAAAAACTTGAAACGGTTATGTACAAATAAGTCTGCTATACCTTCTTAAAAAAAACAGTGATTAATCAATCTTGGGCCACTGAAATCCATATTTTTATATTTTCCTACACACTTAAATGTACATACAATCTACCATTTGACTTGAGTTTAAGGGTACAAAGTACAGAAATTAGCCCCTAACAATACATTATGCCTAAATTTAGAACTATTTTTTGACAGTTCCATTTTAAAGGACCATTTTAAGTTCCGACAAAAATGTCTTGGGAAAAAGAAAAGAGAAATAAAATTACAGCTGAAAATCAAAGCTTAACAATTTTGGCCATCAGTTATCTACATGAGAACTGCAGAAACATTTGAAAGTAAAATTTTGTTTTGCACCAAACTGCCACCAATTCCTTTTATAGAGACTGACCAGCAAACTCAACCTGGGAACAGGTTGGGAATACTGTGAACAAGACTGGCGTCTAATACTATGATATACATACACTATAATGCAGTGCTTTAGCAATTTTTAAACTGAAATTCTTCAACTAAAGTTCAGTTTGAATATTAGTACGTTTCATTTTTAATCCTTTAATCTCAAGTTAACACTTCAAAAAATACATCTACAAATTTTTTCCTCATATCTATATTAAGGGTATATTTTATTTTAATTTAGTAACATTCTAAAAGAATACACGTGATAATTACGTTATTACCAGGCATTAACTCCCCCGAATTTACAATTTCTTAAGATACTTGTCACTTAGCAATATTATTTTGAAGTTTTCAAATGAAATTTTCAATACCGGTCAGTGGGATACCAAATATTGATATTTAACAACAAAAACCCTGAAGTAAATATGCAGGGGTAAATTACTTACACTATCTATCATGCCTACTTTCAAAAGCCCACTTATTCACATGGAAAAGAACATGAGTCTTTACAGAAGACATATAAATAGATGACTTTTTAATCTATCAAGCTAGTTTAAAATGCCATTTTTACAAAATAGAAAAGCATTAGTCTTACCTTGAAAAGCCATTAGAAAAAACTGATCGACCAGGGAAGTTCACAGTTCCCAAGGAAGTCAGGTTGTCATCTCCAGATCCTTGGCACCTATTCCAATTTTCTGAACCAACAGGAATTGGTGGAATGACATTAAAAATAGGCTTCTGATCCTGCTGCTGAGAGAGGGATGCTGTATTCATGTCATAGTGATACATCTGTCCTCCAGAGGTACTCACACCATGTACAGAAATGGCAGACATTTTATTACCAATTATATTTGCCCCAGAAAAGCTTGCCTGACAGTAAACTGGGCCCAGTTTCTCCTGCTTAACTACCCCAGGGGTGCAGAGTTCAATGAAGTCTTCTTTTTCTGTTTTCACTTGGGGCAGTGGTACACTGCTGGGATTTGATAAGATCACATCTCCATTATCCTTAATTTTAGGTTTAGTGTCCGGTAAAATGAGAGGCTTGCAGTCTTCATTCACATTTCCTTCCAAAAGGAATGGATCATCCTCTCCTGCCAAAGGAGAAAGTAAACAGTTTTCGTCCATCAACAGGTCTGATCTCCAAGGACTCTCATTCGCCTCTTTACCTGGGGACCCAGAAGAAAACTCCAAATCCTGCAAGATGTCAAAGGTGCTTTGGTCTGTGGGATACAACTTCACACTGCCACCGTTGGTGCCAGTCTGACCCTCTAGGTTTTGCTGTTCTGAAGATATATGAGACTCAGTTTTGGAAAACTCCTCTGTGGGGGTTCCAGCCACAGCAGTTTTCTTGGAGTTTTCTGGAATACCAGCTGACCTACTGAGGTTTGCAATACTTTCTTCCAGGAGCTGAAAGTCTGTTTCTCCAGAGGAAAGGCTGATTTGGCCCTGCTGTGGGAATCCCAGGTCATTTCCCATCACTTTTGTTTCTGTCTCTCCCATGTACAGTCCCATTGAGAGTGAAACAGCTTTGGACAGATCTGGCTGCTGTGCATTGCTTCCTGAGCCTTTTGGAAAATCAACCAAAAGTCTTCGCTGCTTGGGATCTGATTGAGAAGCAGCAGCCAGTGAGGGTGAAGATGCAGAAACCTTCACAGTAGCTCCTCCCCTTAGGTTTTTATAGAAATCAATCACATTCCTCCTCTCTGAACCAAGTGCACTGCTGGGGACTTCTTCTCTACTAGGTGGGGTTAATGATTCTTTGGAGTCCATCGGCAAATATCAGCTAAACAAAAGATGAGAAGACATAATAAGCTATAAGGTTACAGTATCTGTGATCCAATTAGTTAAGAAACAGCCAGTTAAATGAGCCTTTCAGTTAACTCCAAATCAAATGCTTTGTATCAGAAGAGTAATTTCTATCTTCAAGAATAAAAAGCCAGGTCCCCTGTTCCCATTCAGTGTGCCACACTTAAAAGTACAAGGCAGTTCATCTGCACAGCTGAGGACAAAACTGTATCAAAACTAAGATTTGCTATTCATCTTGCCACTCACTGAAGGGACAAGTTGCTTTGTTAATCACAGACATTATAATCATTGCATCTGATTATTCTAAAGGATCAAGCTGATGTCAAAGTATTCAATTTCAAAAAAAGTGTGATCATTAAAAATCCTACCTTTCAGTCAAAGCTATTCACGCTTCTGGGAACCAATATATACAATATTTAATAAATACTGTGCTGAAATTCTCAATCTCCAGTTATTTCCAAATTCAACTCCCAGCAGTCACAGATTTAAGCCCAGTACAACATACTTGTGAACCATACACATTTAATTTAGGAAATAAACAATATTGATTTATCTTCCAATAGGCCAGGAAAAGGTTCTTATTTTTAACCCATATTTCTTACTAGATGTGCCTATCTGATAATGCCTACCTCCAAATTTTGGGTATATGAAGACAGATACATTGTATATAAAAACCACCTAAAATTTACATTACAAAAAGCAGAAAGTGTGTCTAGCAGCTTCTCCATGCAATTTTTGCTTATCTGAATATGACAAGAAGAGATATTTGACCAGTATCATTGTTCTCAATAACGTCTAGATTTAATTCAGACTAATAAATTCAACTACATTTATTTTTGAAATCGCTTAAGACTCTCAGCGCAAGCCAGGTGTGGTGGCACATGGCTGTAATCGGAATGCTCTGGAAGGCTTAAGAATGAGGATTCCAAGTTGCAGGCTAGCTCAGGCAATCTAGTGAGTCAGTCTCAAAATAAAAAGTAAAAAAGAGACGGGGATGTAGCTTAGTGTGAAGGCGCTGGGTTCAATCCCCAGTCTGTACACACAAAACAAAATAAAATACAACAAAAGAGCCTCAGTGTGAAATACTGCTAGTATATCTCCCAATTTTTACCTCCAATTTTTTCCTTTCCAAATATTTCAGTACTGAAAAGCAGAAAAGCCCACAACTATAAAATTACATCATATGTCTAGATGAAATAGTACCCAATACAATATTCAGAATATGTTTCTTTACATTCCAAATTTTCACCTATCGAAATTCTGAGCCTCTTCTAAAGAGATAAGGTTTGTAATACACTGTCCATAACTGTATTAAGAAGCGCTAGACTTTGGTAAGTACGTCTGGGACATTACTGCCAAATCCCACCAATATAAAAAGGAAACTTTTCTAGTACGAAAATGCTAAGAAGCATAAATGTCAGTGGCCCTTCCTGAAAAGGGAGTGTGACGGAGAAAGGCGCGGGGACCTGCCACTGGGAATCTTAAGGGTAAATGGTTTAGATGCCACCCCCTGCCCTGTTTATCTGATAATGATCTCTAAACACTAGGTACTGTATCAAATACAGCCTAATGAATTTCCGCCTATTTTGACAGCCGTCTTCAAACACAAAACCACAACAATGCTTCGTAAAAGAAAACTCTCCCACAAGCGACACTATCCCCCAATTTAAATGGCAAATTACCCGTCACAATACTCGGGGTCTTAAGTGGTATTACAAAGTCGCAGTTATCAACCCGGCAACCTCAAACATCAAACTAGTACTTGTCAAAAATTGCAGTACAAAACTATTACGGTTAGATAAGAGTCCTTCCCCGCCCCCTTCTTAAAAGGGACCCTTGGAAAAGTCTGGCGAGAAGATGCCACAGCAAAAGAACCGTGGTGGTTGGGGACGTCAAAGAAAAATGTGTCCGGACCTGTTGAGTTCTCCCCGACACGCCCACTTCTACCAGACCTCGCCAGCCCGGACCGAAGTCTCCAAATTGCAAGCTGTCAGCCCCCTGCATGTCCGCGCGCGCGCACACACACACACACACACACACACACACGCGCACGCACACACACACACACACACACTCCCGCACACCCGCAGGTCCGCCAGAACTGAGGCTCGACAGGGCCTCGACACCCCCGGAGCGCGGCGCTCGGGCGCACCAGGGTGGAGAGGAAATATCGGGGCGACGCGGCTCAGAGTTCACCGTGAAATGGGCGACTGGGCGGCCCCTTGGAAGGAACTGGAGAGGGGGACTTGGAAAACAAAGATACCAGGGTCCTGCCGAGGATCCGGAGGCTGGAAACCCCTAGCCGCTCGCTGGCTGAGGCTCTGCTCGCAGTCCGAGCTCAGGTTCCTCCCCTCGCCTCGCCAAGGAACGACGGCGCAGGGAGAGGAAGAGGCCAGCACTGTCACCCGCGCGTTGCCCTTTCGTCACCGACACCCGGCCCTAGCCAGCCCCCACCCCCACCGCCGAGACCGATAAAAGTTTGCAGGTTCCCGCGC